GGGCTGCGCGGCAGGGCCGCGGCGGGTCATGGCCCGGCTGTAGGCAGGCAGCGCTCCGCTCCCGGCGGCAGCCCCGCCGCGCCCCCCGCGTCCTATGAGAGCCGCCCCGGCGCCAAGATGAAAGGTAGGGACGGGAGCGGGGCGCTCCGCCGCCCGCACACGTGCACCGGGATCGGCGGCGTGCGGGAGCGCTGTGCGGGATCAGCGCCCGCAGCTCTGCCAGGGAACACTGCGGGCAGGGCGCTCCGGGGACGGTGCCCGCGGGATGAGGCGAAGCCAGCAGCAGGGTGCTGGCGGGACACGGTGCGGGCAGGTGGCAGGCAGGGCAGAGCGGGGGTGGCACCGCGACCCCGGAGCGCGGGGTCTGCGCCGCCGTGTGTGGGTCAGTGCCGGTCCGGCAGCGGGATGTCCCTGTGAGTGCGGGAGCGTGTCGCCGCATGCGTGCTCTCCCCCCAGCACGGTTTCTCTCGGCACCCAACTTTTATCTTCCCCCTCGCCGGTGCCCCGAGAAGAAGAGTTGTGTTTATGCCTGGTTGATTTGTTTATTTTTTGCCAGCGTTTTGCGATGTTCTCGGTGTTGCTTCTAAACATCTGGCAGTGATTAGGTGCCAGTAGAAGCTTAACTGGCTTGTGAAATGTATTTGGCGTATTTCTCCTCTGCATCCACCGACTGGAAAATTTTTGGTCTTTACTTTGCATCCGTTCAAATTGAAACTTTGTTTCTTTTCCTTTTTCTCTCTTTTCCTCCCTTCCTCCTCTTTTTTGTTTTAAATGGGTGAAACATTTGACCCTGTCCTACATAGCTGCGACTGAGAGGTATCACATACTTTAAAATGAAATAAAGAAGCGGATTGCCAAATTGCTACTCCGTAACCCGCTGAAGATATATCGGGGGTGCAAGAAAGCCTTCTGTTTATGAAATTGATAGCCTTACAGCAAAAGGCAGAGGCTTTACACATTGGGGAATACTTACAATGAAAACATCAAAGGACATTATGGAAAGTTTAGGAGTTAGTTGGGATGTTGTGAGCATTAAATTCAGTTTTTCTTTAGACGCAAAAAATAAGTTTAAGGAAAAGACATACATATATGAAAATTGCTTTTGGGCACCACTGTGCCTGTTCTTGGACTGCAGAGTTTTATTCCAGATGCCAGGAGGCCAGTAAACATCTTGATAGTTACACTGAGTTTCCAGAGCCTAGGACACCGAATGATGTTCTCATTTATTCACTTGCCAGAGTAGCTGCCTGAAGGGAGGAAAAACTTTTGGGGGCATTTATTTTGCAAGCCCACACACTGTTTAAGTTACTTCTGACACTGTGGCATGATGCCTCTCCAGGGCCATGCAACATATGACAAATAATGTATTTACAATGTTCTTTATTTATAGCCTGCTCGTGCCAAAAATTTTGTCATCAGCTTGTCATTATCAGCATAAGTGTAAGGGCAGGAACAAACCACACCAATGGGGATCTGGTAGTAGGTAGAACAAACCTGTTACCACTGAAACCCTTACACCCCATTCTTGGGAGTTTTGGGGAGAGGTGGGATGCAAAGGACCAGGGATGGGAATAAAATAAAATGCAACTTGTGTCTCCTTCCATTCTGCATTCTGCTTCCACTGCTCTTTGCAAAGCAGAGCAGTGGCATTCAAAGGGAGGATGTAATTCCTGCTCCTGGGAGCACTCACTGGTGCCCCACACCCCATCAAGAGGGAATGCTAGTCCTTACCATTTGGCTTCCCTAAGAGTGATCACAGCCATTTCATTTCTTTCCCTCAGAGAGTTACAGAATCAGTAATAAAACATGCAAAGAAGAACACTTGAATGACTGTGCTAATAGCAAAATAAAAGCATCAAACAAATAATGACATCAAGTGCTTCTGCCAGTGTTAGAGAAGTCAGAGAGTCAAAAACCAAATTTTGACTTGGTGATTTCCTTTTCTGGGTATGGACTTGGCTTTTCTTGTTTTTGCTTTAAACTTGATGGTAGTGATAATTGTAGGACTGTAGAACTTTGTATAGTTACACATTTTTCTCAATAAAAACAAAAAGATCTGTTGATTGCAGCTGTCTCTGTATCTACCCTCTCTAGAGAATGGAGGAATATCTAAATAATTACATCACTAAATATCTGTAAGGAATAAATTATATTTTCCATTGCTGGTGTTTGTAATGTGTTATGTTTTAAATCAGTAAAACAAATTGAAGTTTATGTTCAATATGCTCGCAGTTTTATTTCCAGCAAACAACACTGAACTCACAAACTTTGTCATATTTTTTAGCAATAATTCATGTGATTTATATAGGGATTTGTCTGCTTTAGGGTCAGATATATCTTTATCAAATGATACTTGTAAGTTGTAGTTATTTATTGGAGCATGGAGGAGCACTTGTTGCCTGGGAAACCAATGAAAACAGCTTCCTCATAGTCAAACACCACCACATGTTCAAAAACATTGGCCCTAATTTAAGACAGGGACAAGCATTGTTAAAACTGAGAGCTTCTTCCCATATAGCTGCAATATATTTTGTAATTGCTACTTTAAACTCTATCTGTAATCACTGCTGTAATGGCAGTGCTGGTCATAAGTATTTTCCTCTGAAATATGGATACTGTTTGGATAACCATATAATACTAATTCCCAAATTCAGGCGATGGCAAAGTCAAGGTGGTCATTTGGGACTATTGCTCCAGGATGACAGAGAAGCTCTTAATTAATGATGCTTAAAGTAGCTTAGCTGCTTCTTTTCATTCCTCTTCCTCCACCTCCTCCTCCCTCTCTGCCATCACAAGCACCTTGCAGTGTACCACTTGTATAGCAATGGTGCTGGAGGACAAATCATCTGGGATCCTGTGCTTGAGTGCTGGGGTGTGCTTGACAGCTGGAACGCGACCAAATAGATTCTGTCTCGTGCCGTTCCTCTCATTCAATACAAAAGGATGCACAGGGCAGAAACAGGTGTGGCCTCGGCTGTGTTCCACCAGAGTGAAGCCTGCAGTGCCTCGGGGTCAGCCTGGCCTGAACGCTGCCTTGCTCAGCCTCGACCCCTTTTCCTCAGAGGCGCTCAGGGCGCGCTGTGCTCCGTGCGCGGGAGGTGAGAGCGCACCGAGCTCCCACAGGACATGCCAGTTCAGCCCAGCCCAACTTTGCCTTACACACTGAACACTTCAGCAGGCAATTAACTAACATATCAGCCTGTATTGCTAAAATTGTCCCTTCTGAGGGACTTAGAGCCTGGATGTAATTTGCAAATAATGCCTACAATAGCAAAAGCTGACTGTGTATACAAGTTCACTTGTTCTTTCTTGACTACCTTGAAAAATTTTAAATAATCTATTTATATGATGGTTACCTTCTTGACAGGTTTTGTCTTTCTCTCAGTTTTGATGCCACTGCTAATTTTAAAGAATAAATGAATAAAAGTTATAATTTTGTAACACTGCAGAAAAGTCTCTCTCTCTCTCTTCTTTGTGTGCACAAAATCAAATGAACAGTCATCTGCAAATAGGTCTTTCCTGGATAGAAACTTCAAACGAAGAATTTTTTAAAAATCCAGTCCAGAGAATTTTGCAGAAGCCAGAAAGCATCTGAAAACCAAGGATTAGAAGCTGAGTGATCCAGTAACCTTTCCTTAGTCCATTTATAACAGAGCTTCTATGAATATAGTGACATAAACATGAAACATGTGCAGGAGGTCTGAGTGGTGTGTGTTGGACATGTCACAGGACCCTACAGCAGAAGTTCAAAGGCACGAGCAGTTATAATAAATGTGTGATAAAACACAGAACAAATCCTGAGCAACGCTACTATACAGTCAATGTGTGTCCTGAATTGATTGGTAGCACAGAGGATTTTAAAGATATAGATGAGAAAGATGCAAGTGTGTGTCAAAGCATGTTCTTATTAATGCAGAGGAAAACAGAGCTATGAAATTATAAGAGAAATTGCACAGATAGAAATATTACTATACAATCCCAAAGGACATTGAGCAGAATTAGCATATAAGCGATTTATGACAGGAGCATTTTCAGGAAGAACTTGTAATTGTTATTGCTTCAATTCTACTTTTCCCAGTCACACAGGACTAAGAATTGCAGAGACAAACCTCCCAATGAAGAAGGGAGTTGTTTAAAATCTCCTGTGACTTCTTTTTCTCCTACTTTGGATAACATAGATTCATTTTAGGCTGATTTTTCTACAGCTGAGGGCTGAACAGAGCCCTTTTTTTGTCACAACCACTAAACAGTTTACTTAGATCCACACGGAAAGACTGTTGTGCCCAGAGGTTCAGATACTTCTGGCTGCTAGGATAAGGAGGGAAAGGTAATCTTGCAGAGAGATAGAGCTGATCAGGCCTTGCAGAGATAAAACAGAGTAAAATAAAGAGAGCTGGGACAAATGTCAAGGATGAAAGCAGCTCAGTACTGCAAAGGATGCATACCCAGTTATCTTTAGCTTCACAAAACCTTCCTTATCCTGAGGTTCTGTATGTCAGAACAGAGAATGTCTCCTTCCAGCCCTCCCCCCTAGAAAGCAAAATAAAGACACTTTTTACAAGGCATGGAAAGTGAACCTGATCCTCCTCATAATGTGAGTGTGGTCTGTGCGAGTGAGGGAACAGCCTAAGATGAATTGTCTTTGGAGTTTGACTGCTTCCACCTAAAACTGCAATCCCTTTTGGTGCATAAATTTGAGGTGCAGACTGGGACATCACTGGGGAACAAAGTGAATGAGTTATGGGAGGTAATAGAGACATATGTTGTTAGGAATGTGCATGCCATTTTAATACCGCTGTTAATTGCCTCCTCTGACATACAGACTGGGAGGCACGATTTTTCAGTGCACTAATGAGAACATATCTGTTTGCTCTTAAATCATTATTCTGAAATACTATATGATTTAAACTTTTAACTTCTAAGGTTGGTCCTCCACACTATGCAGCTACTCCTGACCCCAGTACGGTAATGGGGCACTTATGGGCTAATAAGTTTTGTTCAAAACTCCCTATTTACTGTCTTCATCTTGTGCCTAAAAAGCAAAACTAGAGTGATTGTTGTTATACCTCTAAATTTCACAATCTTCTGTCTTTTTGTGTGTGTTCCTAATGTAAGTGCTCACAT